GTGTATATATATATACACACATTAAAAGAAGCACAGTGGTTGCTTGTTTCCCCAAAGTTTCCTACATGAATTACTTGTATCTTCGACCGGTGGTCCTAGACTAGACTCTCTTTCGACTATGGAGAGCCAGGCACACGACTGAAATATGATGGCATATAACCGTAAGCCTTAAACTTTCAAAAGACACCCTGAACCCAGAAGACTAGCTACTTCTTCGGGCGCATGTTTCGGGATTCAGGGTCTAAGTCAACAAGTTTAGGGTTTGAGGCGGAACGGCTTTTGGGGTTTGAGGTGGAAACAAAAAAACCCTAAGCCCTAAAGCCTAGTGTGCGACCCTAAACCCCTAAAGCCCTATATAAACCCCTAAACCCTATAAACCCCGAGATCCTAACCAGAGGCCTGATAAAGACCCAAAGTTGCTTAATCAGGATCCTAGGTCTTAGATTAAACCGTTTGGGGCGTAGTTGTAGATTCTATACCTATGGTCTCCATTGTAGTTCTTTTTCTTGGTCTAACTAAGTGTCCAAGGTAACCACAAGAAGGAGCGACAATGGAGTCCGTAGGTAGAGTCGATGCCCAGGAGTTGCGCACCGCGACGACGGCACGTCTGGAGAGGCAGCCAGACGAATGCCCGGTGGCCCGGACTGAGTCGCCTTTGGTTTTGCCATGGAATACAGATAAAATAGAAACAGCATGAGAGAGTGTCATGTCAGACGTAATTATCGATCAGTTCAGAGTCTCGATATCGCACGTGATGTCATGGCCTACGAAAGCCGGCACGTCTCAACAAGCCGCACTTCGCCTCACGTACCGGGAAAAGGAAAGATACCACTCCCTTCCGATCCTGGGTCGCTTTGGTAACAGCTGCCTTTTTGTTGTTCGGGGTACCTTTTGTTACGGGACCTGATGTTCAGAATCCTGTCTATATCAGGGTTTACTTTATTTTAGGGAGCTCAGGGCTAAGGGTAGCCCGATGCAAGCCGACCGACCACCGGACACGGTCGCCACACCGCTCAACTGCTATTCACTGCGCTCTGCAATTCAACGACGATCCCCAACATGTGGGTGGCTTTCGGGCCTATAGAGCCCTTTTAGAGCCACTTTCTCTTTAACCCTGAAACCTGAAGACGCCTTTCTGAAAGCCGTGTATAACGCAGTGGTCCAAAACCAAAAGTTTCAACTTTTGGTGAGTCTCATTCTGAAAGTTTTCATCTTTGTACCTTCTGGGCATTTGGGCATCCTTGAACCCCTGCAGCCTAAACCCGAAAAGCCTAAACTCTCCGAGGATTAAAGACTTCGAGCCGCAGATCTGCCTCGTGGAGCTGGACCAGCAGGCCTTTCTTTATAAGGGTTCTGGAATATAGAGGCCTAAATAATTACCTATACTATTTTGGCGGGTTCCTTATTATATTCATAATATAATGGGCCCCAAAACCCTATTCTAATTATTAAGGCCCCTATAGTAGGTGGTTTCCGGTTGCTTTGAGGGGATTTGCAAGTTGTGGGTTTCCTAAGGGTTCTGCAAGGCTCGTTTAGGTGTGGCGGTTTGAGGGTTTAGGGTTTGAGGATTTAGCGGTTTAAGGTTTGAGGTTTTAGGCTTTGAAGGTTTAGGGTTTGAGGGTTGAGGGCCTTCAGGTTTCAAGGGTTCTTCAGGATTTCGAGTTTGTGTGGCGGAACCCTAGTTGGTAGTCTTGACGGTATGGGCCACCGGAGGAAGGAGCTTAACAAAAACAAGAGCCCTTGCCGGCCCCTAGCAGTCCTAGCATGTACCAATGGTATCCATTGTAGTTCCCTGTTTGGGTTTCACCAGTTTTCTTTTCAGGACCCTACAAGGTAACCCCAGATAGGAAATACAATGGAGACAATAGGTAAATCCATAAACCCTAAACCCCTAGACCCTAAACCTGTGAACACCCTGAGCCCGAAGCCCCTAATCCCTAAACCTATAAACCCTAAACCTATAAACCCATATAAACCCTAAACCTATAAACCTAAACCCTAAACCCATACACCCCAACCCTAAACGTATAAACCCTAAGCCTTAAACTGTACAGCATGAGGTTTCGGATGCGGGGGTCCGTGGTTTCGGGCTTCGGGCCTCGATCTCCCGGGGCTTGGTCTGCGGTAACGTGGGAGTTTCTGAAATATGCCGCCTCTCACTTAATGTATGTATGCCTGTGTGTATATACACATATAGATAGATGGATGGATGGATGGATGGATGGATGGATGGATGGACGGACGGATAGATAGATAGATAGATAGATATGTAGATACATGTATACATATATATATATATATGTATAATTATTGACACGAACGTATCTATACACATTTTCTCACAGAGAGAGATAGATGGGTGTAGACATATGTATATATATATATACACATACATACATGCATACGGACATACACACATACACACATATGCCCTAAACAGTAAGACTGTCAACATCACAATATCTATTTTAGGAACGTGCATTCCATGAAACACCTTTGTACATACATATCTAGTTACCACGATATTCACCTATCCGTCAAGGAGCTTCAAACCAAAGCGCAAATCTTTCAGTACCAATCCCACACGCCCAGATACCCCAAGTGCCAGAACAAGCCTTCAACAGTAAGCAGGGTTTCTGGCCGCCGTGGAAAACTGTTACATGGAAGTCCCGGCAAAACCTATCACCACATGTTCACAAAAGCCCCTAGTAAAGCCAGACCCAGAATTTTCAGAAAGTCCCGTCGGCAAACCTAGGAGGCTTTTCCAACCAGCCCCCCCCATCTCTGCCAGCGCTTCTCCCGGCTCCTGGCCTTTCGGCAAGGCCTGCTGGTGCCCTAGCGCTTTACCTGCGGTGTGGGGTGCGACGGGTTAAATGATGTTAACTACTGGATATTGAACCGGGACTCTCTGCAAGAGCAATTTCGACAGCTGTCGTGATGTGTGCTATCCGAAAGGTCTTGTAGAAATGCCAGATCTTAGCGAAAACATGCATTGCGACATGAGCCCTAGCAGAAGCAATTGACATCATGGATCGTCATTATGACCATGATGCCAACAGCTTCAGGGTTGCCGGAACTCTGCTTGATGCTTCTCAGATTACAGCAAACTCACAGTTGTTTTCTGTTTTACTGAGCGGTCTGGACAATACTGAAGGATTGCGGACTTTTAATCGAATGAGGGATCGGCTGCTGCTGCTGCTGCTATGTTCGAAAGCTTTGACAGGACTTGCTCTGCATTGTTACAATGCTATTCTTGCAGTAAGCAAGGATTTTTCAGCTGGGAGCGGGTTCCTACATTTAGGATCCTGACGGGAAGGTGGTTCAAGAAACGAGGGTTTAAGGACTGTTCTGGGTTTAGGGCTACTGTACTCTTTTCCGGCCATAAACCCCGAACACTAAACCCTACACCGCAAAGCCACTGAGGCCCTGGCCTTATGCACCTTTGCGGGGGGCGAATTATCAGAAGCTACCTCAGAGCTTGGTTGGTGCCCGTGCCTGTCCTTTCAGGAGATGATGGGTTCCGTTCACTGTAGTAGTTTGCTATAGCTTAGTATACGTATGCAGCTGTGCTTGCGGTACAGTATACAGATGTGTGGAGTATAGTATAGTCTAAAGTTCAAAAGAGCATAGTTTCATAATGCTCCATGGCAGTCGTTTCAAGGATCTTGCCACCCATATTTTCTCTGCCCAAAAGTCGCACAGGACCTACGTGGGGGGCCGGGGGTGCAGTGGCTGCGGATCTCGGACATTCCACGTTTCTGGTACAGAGTTGCCTAACTGTGTGAGTTGCAGGTCTACCAACAAACAGTAAGTTTGCTTTCGTGTGGCATATATTTGTGTCATGAGGCGGTTGGACTCACTGGCTTTAAGATTCCAAGCCAAAGTACCTTTCAGTAGCCGTATATATATATATATATATCGACAGATATATTTGTGTTTGAGGTATTCTGGGCTTGTGCTAAGATAGCGCCAAATGTCCTAAACCCTGAACCCGTAACGTCAACTTTAAACCCAGTAACTGCAATATCAACACTCCGTCAGCATGGCACGGAAGCAGTGCAGCCTTGTATGCTGACGGTGATAGGGATGATTGTGGTAGTTGTAGTGGCCAAGAGGATGACTACGATGATGACGATGACGATGACTATGAAAACGATGATGTCAATCATGAGATAACGGTGTTGTCGGTGGTGGTGCTGCTTGCCTCTGCCGGCAGTGCTGGCAAAAGACGCAGCATGCAAGAGTGATGGCGATGCTTGTGACTAACGTTGACGGTGGTCCCTAAACCCGAAACTCTGGACAACAAAAACTTAAACCCTATATCTCTCCCCCCCACACCCCTAAACCCTGAAGGAACTCCTAAATGGCTAATGACGGCGGTTTTTATAGGGACCTGCATAATTACCTATACTATTTTGGGGTTCCTTATCAGAATTATAGTCTAGTGCACCCCCAAAACCCTTTTCTAATTGTTTAAGGTCCCTAGATTACGTTGTTATTCGGGGGGCCAACCAGGCCGAGCCCGCAAGTGCAAGCGATGCGCGAGGCCGGCAAGGGTGTAGGGTTTAGGGCAAAAGTTCTACTCTTGCTATTCCTGTTTTCATTCATCTTGTTATTACTGCTGATGGACAAAATTCTGCATGACCCAAATATAGTATAGTACCATAAATCCCATAGTTTAGGTATTTAAGTTCATGCAGGATTTTGTCCATCAACCGTATCATCACAACCATGATTTCAGAGTGTATTCTGTTCCGAGCCCCGGGAGCTGCTTCAAACTGGGACCTGGGCTTCTGGGAACGGGGCTGCGCAAGTTGCCAAGTTTGGGGCTCACCTTAGATCCTGCTCAAAGAGGGCTTAGGGATTTGGGTTTCGAAATCTAAGACCTCGGGTGTGGGGAGGCTGTGAGGCAGTTTTCGCACCGCCGTCTTGGGGAAATGATTTCTTTGTGCAGGGTGTGCGGGCAGGGTCTTTCTAAACGTTAATCAGTCAAACAGGATGTCTAAGCCTTGACCTGTCAGTAAGGCTGCCAGCTGAAGCAGTCGCTACAGTATTGAGGTATACCAACATATTATTATATACACATGTATATATTTATATACACATGTTTAATGTTGGCTATATAATGACACTAAGCGCCAGAGGTTTGTGTGCAAGAGAGGTACCTCGAGAGCTTGAAGAGCAGCTGGTCCTACACATTGCAAGGCTGCATAAGGCTGCTCTACATGTAGGCCCTTGACTCTACGTTGGTGCCTAGCTATAGGAAAGGCCAAAATGTTTCGGCCTAAACGGTATCACATTTCCCCAAAAATCTAAACCCTAAACAGGTGTTGTTCTCCGGGCTGGAGCTTGCCCAGAGTATCGTTGGCAACAAGGACCAGCCTTTGCTGTTTGGTGTCTGGATCAGGCTCAGGCAATTGGTTGAGGGTTTAAGTTGCAGCTGGATGGGTTTGTCCATCGCGACCATAGTACGTAGTACGCAGTCGACTAAGAGCACAATCGGTGCAGTTCGAAGAGTCATAGTACGTGATACACAAGACAAATACTCTGCACCGCGAGATGGATTGGCTGCTTGGTGGGTGGAGCCAGGCTTTACCCCGGAGCCCCAATTCCCTTTGGGTCCACGCACCCATAGTGTATATGCATCGGCCCTAAAGTACCGTTACAGGGACTACATTACGGCCAAAGCATATACTAGACTGGTACACGGACCCTTATGGAATGGTCTTCGGTCTAGGGATCCTTCAGTATCGCTATAGCTTATAGCCCTGGGCGATCACTTCCTTGGCTTCAAGGGTGTAGGCGAGGGAACAGTCAAGCAAACACCGTGATCCCTGAGCCGAATCGTCGCTGATCAGTGGAAGTGGGCTTGATGGCAGTCTCTCGAGTCGTATTGCAGGTGCTTTCCCCGCCTGGGAACACCAAACGCGAAACGAAGCTTTCTGTGATTCTGATTCTCCGCACCCTCACTCCTGGAAGCATTCGTTGATGAGTTAACACACCAAACCATAAACCCGAAACTTACGGGCAGATGGAACAAGGTGTTCAAAAACACACACACACACACACACACACACACACACACTAAACCCTAAACCCTGAATCGAGACTTAAATTTTCAGCAGCGTGGACCACCGGAGGACAAGGGCGGTGGCGACGAGTTCTACGAGGCAAGGATCATTCAATGCTTTTCTCTTGTCGCCGCGCTATCCATGATCCTGAGTATTATGTACTATAATGTTTCAGAATAGACTTTTATAGTACACTATTACATACTATACTTGACTCGTAGCAAAACGGACGATTATGTATCACAAATAGATCGCTCTTGCTGGTTCCGGTGCCAGTGCTAGACCGGTATTCGTCGTCGTCGTCGTCGTCGTCGTCGCTGCCGCCCCCGGCATCGTCGTCCTAGCCGAATCCACCCCTAAACCCTAAACCCCTAAACCCTATACCCCTAAACCCCAGACCCTAAACTCTAAGCCCTAAACCCCGAAGCCGAAGTCGACGCCGTAGTCGTAGTAGTAGTAGCAGTAGCCGTGCTTTGCCGTTTTCCCTTCAAGCCTCCTCGCCACCAAGAAGCCCCAACCGAAGGCATGAAAGGTTGCTCGTTGCAATCCTAATATAGGGGCCAAAGGTTTGGGGTATATTATATTATAATTTCAATAAGGAGCCCCCCAACAAAAAAAACTATTCTAATTATTAAGGCCCCTACATTATGTGGGAAACTGTGGTGTTTTGCAGTCGCCTCCTTCCTGGCAAGAGGCCTACCTCGCAGCAGCCAAGAACGGAGCTTTGGTCCGGGAGCTCTGTTGCTTCTACCTATAGTCTCCATTGTAATTCCTTTTTGGGGATGCCTCATAAAATCCTTAATATATATATATATATATATGGGTAGGTTAAACCAGAAAAAGGAACGACAATGGAGACTGCAGGTAAATTGCTGGGTGGTCATATAGCGGCTTTAGTAATTACCCTATACTATTTGGGGGCTTCCCTTATTCTAAGTATATGATATACACCGAAAACCTATTCTAATTATGAAGGCCTCTCCGTTAGGGCAGAGTTCAGGAGTGCGCGTTGTGTTCTGGGTCTATCAGGTGTGGGTGGTATTGATGCGGTACATTCCCCTGAACCATGAGCAACCCGAACCCTGAACCGTGCACCGCATACTGCAAAATCCGAGCCCTAGATTCTAAAGAGAAAAAGCGAAAGACCGAAACCACACATGCTAGGGCCCGCAGCAGGCCAGGTTTTGTGGCTCAGGTACTTTACTTCAGTGCGCGTGTTACCAATGTCTGTCAGGGACCGGACTACCGGACAAACATTGAGTGCTAAGGATTGTTATGGGGAGGTGTTCCTCGCCTTCCCCAAGCTCTGCACTCTTTAGAGTTTGTCAATGGTCTGCATGGCAGTTCCTTTTTCGCTTACACTATAGGATCCTTAATTATATAGAAATGCTTAAACCAAAACCCTAAACCCTAAAAGCGGAGCTCTCCCAAAGGCTCCATGTACCTGTCAAGCAGATACTTAAGCCAAGGGGTCCCTAAATTAGGTACTTTAAGGCCTAAGTATCTACTAGATGGGCACATGGAGCCTTAGGGTCTGCAGAGCTCTAGGCTGGGGGGGTCTGGAGTTGCTGATGCCCTCGCTCGAGGTCGTTCCGGGAGATGTTCAGATCTCCAGCGCCCTGGACAGCCTTGCTCTCAGCTCCCCGAAGAAACCCGAAGCCCTAAAACCTAAACTCTAAGCCCTGAAGCCCCTAATAAGCCCAAAACACCCCAAAGCCTAAACGCGAAGCCTGAAAACCTTAAGCCCCAAGAGCCCTAAACCCAAAAGGCAGGGAGCTGGCAGTGCGAACGTCTCCCTTGCACTTACAAATGCCTAAAGCCTAAACACCCTAAGGCCTAAAAGCCCTAAACCCTAAGCCCTAAAACCCCTAAGCCCCAAAAGCCCGAAGCCCTAAACCAAGCCCTAAAAACCCCCTAAGCCCCCAAAACCCCAAACCCTAAGCTTAAAAAAACCCACTCCCCCAAAACCCTAAACCCTCAAACCGAACGAGTATGAGATTTCAGCTTCGTGGACGCTCGAACTCTCAGGGCGGGGGTTCAGAGGCCACGGCAGAGCCTTCAGCACCAAAGCTTGCCTTGAAGGTTTAGGGCTTAGGGGTATGTTGTATCATTTTTAGAGTTAGGGTTTAGGGAACCCTAAACCCAAACCCTAAACCTTAAACCCTAAACCCTAAGCCCTAAACCCAGAGTTAGGGTTTAGGGTTTAGGGGTCTATTGTACTAGTTTTAGCTATATGAAGCAACCCCTCCCCCCAACAAAAAAAGATAGTAGTGATAATCATTTGGGCCTCTACATTCGACTCCCCGACTACCCTTTATTGTGGTTCCCAGTTACCCAGTTTGTTGAGGAATATGAGACCCCGTTAACGGATTCTTCGGGACTGTCGGGTCCTGGTGAACCCTGATGCCTGAAATCCTGGAAATTGCAGGCCCTACGTCTTGGAGTCCAGATTTAGGTGAGAAAAAGTGGTAGTACCACCCCCTTGCAGTCCCTAGACAACCGTGTTCTGAGGATGCAGGGCGCTGCATGAAAACCTAAACCTTCATAATAGCATACACCCTTATGATGGAACCCTGCATGGCGAAACGGAATCCTTTTCGAATCACTATTACACCCGCGAAGCGGCGAAACCTTTCAGATTGACTTTAGACACCATGAAGTATGCAAATCCATAAACAATGCGACAAAACAACGGTTTATTACACGCTGTTACTACACGCAGAGAACTCTTCGAGTCTGTAAGGCCCCAATAAGATTCCATGCGCGAGGCCTCCTGGGGGCCATCCGCCGCGGTTTCGCCGAGCCTTTGGGGCAGATGGCTTCTTGTCCGGGACGACTCAGCTGGGGTGTGATAGACATCTTTAAGTTTGTTTCATTCTGCTGCTCACATGTCGGAGAGGTTGTGAAACACAACAAAACACTCTAGTGTCAGTGGTCCAAGTGGCTGAGATCGTAGCTTCGGTTTTTGAGCAGCTTCGATAGCGTAGGTTTTGTTTCAAGCCGTTCTAACCCTAGGCCCTGCACAGTTAGAGTTCAGGAGTTTGAATATTCGGGCTGTCACTCGTCACGATCGTTATCCTGCTGAGTGTGAGGGCGATACTCTGGGTGACGATCATGGTGCCATCCGAACCTCACCCGAGAACCCTTTGCCAACTCTGCCCAGACCCAAAACCCTGAAACCCTAAACCCTAAACCCGGAGGCTGCAGGAGGAAGCGCACTTGGTCGAGCCTTCGGCGGCATCATCGTTAGGCGCCCAGTCGGCGGCGGAAGGGTTGGGGGTCTCGGGGCTCAGGACCATAGATGTGTAGGGAATACCGCGTTCAGATGAGCTCTGAGCTCCTATGTCCGCTAGAACCTTGCCAAGTCAAGTTGCGAAGCGCAGGGCTTGAAGGGAGGAATCTCACAACCCAAATTCCGTAACCCCACAAGGGTTTAGAGCTTTAGGGTTTAGGTCTGGGGTTGGGGAACCGAAGCAGCTTGTTTCGTGCAGCGGAGTTTTAGGGGCAAGGGTTCATGGCGACAGTTTAAACATAAAAGAACTCAGCGGACCACGATGTCGGGGACGTCTTGGGGTACATATGTACGTGTACGCATATACTCTCTCTCTCTCTATATATATATACATATATATATATATATATATATATATATTTATAGACTTATACAGATATACACATGTATGTGTGTAGACATATTTTCTATGTATCATGTGTATGTTCCTCCATTTTGTTATTGCTCTCTCAGATTTTTTGAGGTTTCTGATGAAGTTTCCCTGCCGCATAAATTTCTGGCCTTAGGGTGCCTCATCTCAAATACACAGTATGTTATAATGCCCTCACATCCTGCTACTCTAGGTAAGGCCCGTATATTATGTCGTTGCGGAGCTTCGATGGGTTTTCAGTAGCAGCAGCTGTGGCATCTCTGCATGCTTGTTCAGCAGGGGTTCGAGCAGCTAAAGACTCCAAAACCCCTTAATTAAGGAATATACCTTAAATTATCATAGGATCCCTAAGATGTTTTAGGATACTTAGAAAAAACAGGGGGTTCAGTTTTGGAGTCTCCGGGCAGCAGGCGTCCTCGTTCCATACAAAGACACCGGGCAGCTGATAGGATTTAGAGTGGGGCTTGGGGAAATAGCATAGTGGCATAGTGTTATTGTGCATAAGACAGTGTTTGTTGACGCACGCAATCCACACATCTACATAGGTAATATCTGATACACACATAATCGATGCTGTAAGGATATACAATGACAGCATCCAGACTGGGAGGGACCCTAAGTCCTAGACCCCTAAAACCTGATAAAGACCCCACGTAGTAACTAGTAAGATCCTCCTCAAACCCTGGGACGCTAAACCCTAAGACCCCTCAAAAACCCAAACTCTTAGAACCTAAACCCAAATAAAGACCCCAAGTAGTGAGATCCTTCTTATGCAGATCCTGAAAAGAGCTCACCTGCATCGGCCTCCGCAGGGCCGTCCGGAGTGGCATGCTCCTGCCGCGGAAGCTGTGGGTGTAGGCAGGGCGAGGGTTGGGTTTAGGGTTTAGAGTTTAAAGTTTAGGGTTTAGGCTTTCGGGTTTTGTGTTTAGGGTTTAAAGTATAGGGTTTCGGGTTTGGGGTTTAGGGTTTAGGGTTTAGGGTACTGCTTCGGATCGGGAATAGGGAGCAGCTAGCACTTGATGTCACTGAACTTAAACCCGAACTCAACTTCGCATATAGAAAGTTTTTCGCCAGGAGCCCCCCTACCAGTAGTTAGGCTCACCGACCCCAGAAGCTCTCGCGAATTCAAGCAGAACCCGGCTTTCATGCTACTCGAAATGTGTCCGGCTGGAGGGCTTGCACTTTTGGGGCATCATCCAGCATGGCCTTATATCCTACGCCCTATAGACTCGCCTAAGCTCTACACCCAGGACCTCTGGACCCTACTCCATTCTAGTTCCTTTCCAGGATTCTAATTTCAGAACTGGTTACACCAAAACAAAAAGGAGCTACACAGGAGACTCTAGGTAACTTCTAGACCCCTAAACCCTAACTCCTAAACCGTATTCTAGACAAAGCTTCTAGACCATCTCTTGAAAGGCATCCTCGGGTCCGGCGACTTGGGCCCCGGTCTAGTTTTTAGGGTCTAAGGTCTGGTGGAGTCATGGCAGACTTTATTCTACTTTTGGGTTTATAAGGGTCTAGGGTCCAGGGTTTAGGGTCTAGGGTCTAGGGTTTAGGGTCTAGGGTTTAGGGTTTAGGGTTGAGGGTTTAGGGGTGGTTTAGGGTCTGTTGTAGCTTGTCATAAACCATCGAAGCCTGTAGCGCCGCTGAACCTGTGCCTCCCTGGCGGCCCGTGTTGGGTTTTCCGGACTTCCCTAAAGTTTCCGCTGCAGGTTTGCGGAGCTCTTGGGACTAGAGTAGTGATCCTTGCCTATACCCGTGTGGGAGAAGAGATCGGTGCCCTAACCGAAATTGCTAATTTCAGTGAAGTTCTAAAGACCAGTATAGAGGTATGACCAGCGACAAAACGAATAACACTAACCCCGAATACGCACCCTAGGGTAGACAGTAGAATCCGTATCATTTGAGAGCCCCTAGTAAGGACTTCGAAGCCGGACTAGATCCGAAAGCAGCTTATAAACACTAGATGACCCCGTTTGGAAAACTTGACATCGCATTTCGCAAATCTAAAAACCTAACTTTGCGCCGGTTAATCCCGAACCCTCAACCCCAAATCCCATGTTGATAAACCTCTAGCAAAAGCATTCGACATATGCAAAACTTTGAAAACCCACAAAGGCCTATAGCATCCCATACAATGTCCTGTTAACCCTTAGAAAACTTAAAACTCCTCCGCGTATAACAAGCTTGTCTAGCAAACAAATCCAAAATCAAAAGCCTGGTTGACCCTGAACCCTAAACCCTAAACGCTGCCTTCAGCTGTGCCCATGGCTCTGGTGGCCGACGGTGGGGGGCGTGCCTTGCCCCTGGCACGGGCGACGGCCGTAGGCTGCCTGCGGGGAATCATTGAATTCGGGGCTTTCATGAAAGGTGGGACTAGCATTGCAGTTTCTGTACTTGGAGGCCCTTTTGACTTAGTAAGTGGGGTTAGTAAGGTGGGTTATGGGGATTATAATAGGGCTCCTGGGGGATACTAAGTAGACTTACTAAGTCAAAAGGGCCTCCAAGTAGAGCCTA